TTAAAAAAAAGCAAATACAAGAAAGAATATAATAAAAAAAAGTAAAAGAAGAGTGAAGTGAGCTGTATAGACAATTGAGGTGTATAGACACCTCAGCACACCACCGCAGCCGACGCTGCTGCTGCTGCTGCTGCGAGCGGTCAGGGGTGTGTAGATGGCTCGTTTTTTTGGGTTTTTTTAAAATAATTATAATTTTAATCAATTAAAATTAATTATTTAATTATATCTCTGAATTTAAAACTCTAATTTAGCGAAAAAATATAAACAAAGAAGGCAGCACCGCGGCCTGCGCGGTACCGCTGTCCGCGCCCGACCACCGCCTGTTGCCTCATCGTCTGCGTGAGGATCTCGGTGGAATTAGAGCGTAAAACGCTAANCGCCCGACCACCGCCTGTTGCCTCATCGTCTGCGTGAGGATCTCGGTGGAATTAGAGCGTAAAACGCTAAAAATAATGCAAAAATGAGTTTATTTTTGAAAATAAAATTAAAAAATTGATTAAAAAAGTTGTTTAGCGCTCGTTTTAGTCGCCTGCAACACCCAATCGATAGCTGACCGCCGAGCTGCCTATACACCCCAGCTCTACTATCGATAGAGCACGCAGCAGCTAGGTGTATAGAGAGATAAATTTTTGTGTATTTTTTGTGTGTTGTTTGTTTTTATACATTCAATTTGAATCCATATTCCTTCTTTTCTTCTTTATAAACAACACACCATCCTATATTCTGCTCATTTGTTGCTTGACTTACCCAGCTGTGTCTATCGAGCTGCAGCTGCTGCAGCAACAGCAACAGCAACAGCAACAGCAGCAGCAACAGCAACTGCAGCAGCAACCACCAGAGTTTATATATATCCTTTTTTCCCTTTTTTTTCACACTTTCTTTTTTTTTTATATTCATTGACGATGCTATCACCACAACGCCGCAAACGATCGGGGGCTCTCTCAGCCCCCTGGCTGCAGGATTCTCTCGAGATAACTCCTGCTGCTGCTGCTGCTGCTGCTGCTGCTGCAGCAGGTGCAGCAGCAGCAGCAGCANCTCTCTATTCTGCATCGGCTGTGCCCCCGTCCTCCTCATCAACAGCAACAGCAACAGCAGCAGCAGCAGCAGCAGCAGCAGCTGCTGCTGCTGCTGCTGCTGATACTGGCTGCAACACGTACGCCTGTGGGGACTCGGGGATCGACCCCCAGACGATCCCCGCTGCTGCTGCTGCGCTGCCGCTTGAGCTGGTGCAGCAAGCAGTGAGCTGGGGGGAGGAGCACAGGCAGTGGCAGCAGCGGTATAGACTATGGTTGCTGCTGCAGCAGCAGCAGCAGCAGCAGCAGCAGCAGAAGCAGCAGAAGCAGCAGCAGCATGTGGATGCTTTGGCTCTACATTCTGGTAGTAGTAGCAGAGTACTAGCAACAGCAGCAGCAGCAGGAGCTGCTGCTACTGCTGCTGCTGCTGCTGCTGCATCTAGGGCTTTACTGCATGCATGCAAACTCAGCTTTGGGGCTGGAAAGAAGACAGCAGCTTTAATATGCATGCACACAAACAAACAAATAAAAACAAAACTACTACCAGCAGCAAGGAGACTAGGGGGGAGGGTAGCGGCTCTAAGAAAGAAGAAAGAGGAGACACACAATCATAATCACTTGCTGCAGCAGCAGCAGCAGCAGCAGCAGCAGCAGCAGCAGAAACAGCTGCAGCAGCTGCTGATGATGCAGAGAATACTGCAGCAGCAAAGCGACGATGATGAATTCCAACAGCAGCAGCAGCAGCAGCAGCAGCTGTTGCTGCTGCAGCTGCAGCGCCAACGCCTTGCAGGAGAACACAGCATGCAGCA